CTCTCTCTCTCTCTCTCTCTCTCTCTCTCTCTCTCTCTCTCCTTACACACACACACCACCACACACACGAGAAATTCTATTCTAATCCATTAATAGACTTAAATTGTAACAATGCATTTACAGAGTCATTTGTAAGACCCAAGATAGAACACACCTAAATGTCTGTCTTTAAAGAGCAGGGATATAAATCTATGACCTATACTCTAGATCTATGCAGTTAATTTATACAAAAAAAGCTCTCTAATATAAACTGCTGCATGGTAAAAATCAAGCCAAGATATAGGATGAAATGTACCGTGTGCTACCATGTGTATATGTCTATGCGTTTAGGAAAATGTATGTTTAAGATCTGGGTGTGTTGGTGCACACTTTAATCCCAGCGGAGGTAGACAGATCTCTGAGTTCTAGGCCATCCAGGACTATACAGTAAGACTTTGACTCATAAATAAATAAATAAGTGTGCACAAAGCCCCAGACTCGTCCCCTGTGCCACGTAAAACCAAGCATGGCGGTGTGCACCTCCAATCCTGCATTTGGGAAGTGACAGCAGGGGGATCAGAAATCCATGGCCCTCCTGAGCTGCACAGTGTGCCTGAGGCCAGCCTGTATCCTATCCAAAAAATATCAAACATGGCTATGCTAGTATAAGCATCAGTTTCTCGAAGGATATATGAGAAATTTGGTTTTTATCTTATGCATAGGGGTGTTCTGTCTGCGTGTCTGCCTGGTGTGTGCCTGGTGCTCACATAGACCAAAGAGGGCGTCAGATCCTCCAGAACTGGAGTTAACAGATAGTTGAAAAATGTCTTGTGGGTTCTGGGAATTGAACTTTGGTCTTCTGAAATAACAACCAGTGCTCTTAACCATTGAGCCGTCTCTCTAGCCCTATATACCAAACTTGACATTGTGGCTATTTCTGGAGAGTGACAGAAAAGGGATGAGGGAGACCTTTTCCCTGTAAGTGGTTTTAAAATAGGTTTTTAATTGTTTGCTTTATCCAGATATTAAGGGGCTGGATACATGGCTCAGGGATGAAGAGCTGCCTACTTCTCTTGCAGTTTGGTCTGTAGCGCCCACATCCTGCCCCTTAGATTCAGTCCAGTAAAGGAAACCAATACACAAGTAACTGTGTGGGAATGTCAATTAAAGTAGTTCTCTAGCATCAGCCTCCCTGACCTCTCTTGGCTTGATTCACAGGCTCTTACAAACTTGGGTGAAATTCTGAAAGCTGCAGGCTGCGACTTCTCTAATGGTGAGCAA